TCATGACCTGAGCCGAAGGCAGAGGCTTAACCGACTGAGCCACCCAGGCATCCCTCTGGTAAGTTATTTTTGATAAGCTTTCTAGTGACTGAGGTACATAGTGAAATTTCAAGAAGTCAGTCTCCTGAATTCATTCTGCTCTTCCTCAGTTCCCTAGCCCAATCTCTCCTCACTACCTCATGAAACAAAGAGCAATCCGCTCCTGTCCCAGAGTGGTCTCAGAGATCACAAAAGGATTAGAAGGGACTGCTCCCTGTTGGGAGTTTACAGGTTTCTTTTCAAGTACATTTTAAACTTCACAGGTTAAGACGTGATAATTCTATTTATCTTCTGAAAGCCTGGACAAGTTTGCTTTTTCATTATAGTTGGGGGGAAAAAAGGTTGCTAAGCCGGCATAAACAAACTTTCCCGTAGTCTTTTACTAGTCAGGAGAATCAGCTTTCAGACACTTAGAAATATATATTTTTTATACTGTATATGCAACTAGAATTTAGACGGAGGAAGCGGCCCTTAGGCTAGGTTTTGATAGGTTTATTGCAAATAATTCTAGTTTCAAATTCTGAGCTCAAGCAAAACAAAAAAACCTGCAGCAACAACAGTCTCCTTGCAGAGGACAGACTCTGGAATGACAGCTCATATTTCTCAGTAAAGCAAGCTATTTTTTAATGCTCATTAAAATCTATGGCTAGGTGCTAATTTGTCCTTAACACCTTTCTTTGAAAGGCATAAATATTTTCCACGTTAAGAAGGGCGTGCAGAGCCCAGAAGCACGGGGCTGAGGGGGACCTACCAAAGCTCACAGACATCACAACCACAAGCCAGAGAATCTCTGATTACTTAAAAAAAAAAAAAAGATTCTTTAAAGTGATCTAGATCAAACATTTCCCTCATTTGTAAAGAGCCTTCATGTGATTGAATACATCTGTGGTCTATGTCTGGCTCTGTCATCTTTAGCAGGAGCAGGGGTGAGATGAAATCCACCCTATTTTTAAAAGATCTCCGGGGAAGAAGACTTCTTAGACACTTGTGTTAAAGCCTAATCACCTTGGTTATTATTAATCTTTTATGTTCAAACTAATTTTTCCCCCTTTTTATCCTTTACGACAATTTCATCCTCTTTGGTCTTTGAAAATAAAAAATATTAAGGTCTGCTTCCTACATTTTAGGTGACAGGTTACCATATCATCCCTTACTGTTTATGCCTCAAGGCCAAATCACCCCAACTCCCTCTTGAGCCTGACTTGATGTGTACCAAAAAGCAGACGTCACTGTTAGCCAGGGTTGCTAGGCGTGGCAGCTGACGACGTGGCAGCTGCGTGTGTGAGGCCACGAAACCCCGTCTTCAGACCAACAGCCAGGCTGACCGTGGAAGGTGCCGGCCCTGCCCGTGGCAGGCCTATGGCATTCTTCCAGTCTGACGGAGTCTCTGTCTCTCTACAGGACTTCTCCAGGGGGCCTTCCTCTGCCTATGGGACACTATGCCTTCACGCTTTCCATGCACTTGTCATCTTCCCAGAAGGGAGCCTGGTGCTGGGTTCTCAAGTCCAAATGAAGCACCGACTGAAAATCGCATTTCGTCAAAATCACCCTAAAAAAAGAAAATGTCTCCCTCACTCAGCTCAGTCAATTGTTTCTTAAGCAACGCTTTTGGCTAGAATCAGCACCCCAGGATAAATAGACTAGGTTATCGCACACCAGACAGATTCTTGTTGGAAGTGAGGTGGTCACTGATAACAATGAAATCATTAGCATCGAGTTGGAAGCTGGGTTTGTTTGGTAGACTTTTCTTCCAAACCCAGATATGAAATGGCTGGAAACCACTGACGAGCACATCAAAGGGAGAACCAAAATGGAATCTGGTATTTTAACTAAAACTGTATCTAATACAACCCAGGACGTCCTTTCATATATGAGAGGCAATCAGTAAGAGTTTGATGAATGAGTGAATGCACGATTTTAACAGTGACGAGAAGGGTTGTGGAGGACAGTCTGCTGAGCTAATTAGAGCAGAGAAATACCGAGGAGGTGGGACAGGGCTGCATCTCGAAAAAAGAACTATGGTACTATGGTACCATGGTCCAGAGCCCCACTCATCAACATTCTCCAGATATATACTGAGGAGCTCCTTTGCACCAGCAAGCTTTCCTCTGGCCTTCTGGACACATGCTCTTGCAACTGCCACCACTCTGGACACAGAGCAAGGAAGGGGCCTTGTCTCTCTGTTGGATGTGCACTTTTGAGAACAGAGGATATATCTTATTCATGGTACGGTTTTCAGTTCCAAGGACAATGCATGGTACTAATGCTCAGTACTAATCAAATAAGTTCAGAGAGCTCAACATCTCATCCTAGAAGAGCATTTAATGAAATTTCCTCTTGTAAACTCCCTTCCATGCCCCTCTTTCTGGGTCACTCACCCAAGGATCAGATAATCTCTGGGACTAGGGTAGCTCTCAGGATGGTGCCTTTAACTTACCTTTTAGAACCTTCTTCGACACCTAGATTTTTTGCTTTTAGATACAAGTGTGACCATCCTTCCCAGCGGGTCCAAATTCCTAGCCAGCAATTTCATGGAACATTTTTTAGCTTGGCCAAAACCCTTATTTTCAAGAGACATCATCTCCCACCATGAACGGACCTCATACCTGGATACCTCTTTGGGAATTCCCTACCAAGGAGATATACCCTGAAGATCCATGAGGGGCCCAGTGACGGGTTATAGCACATATAGAAACTAGGTAATTTGTCTGTTGTTGACAGCAGGTGTGTCCACCTGCTGCCCATCGGCCATCATGACTGCCTCCCCACGTCACTGCCCAGCCACCAGCCCCATGAGATCACCCCAAATACTGGCAGCTGTTCCCAGAGCCTCAAATGTTCAAAGCATTATAACTAAGCTACACTGGTTACCCCATTAATCGTGTAAACTCCAAGGGACCAGTACTAAAATCCATCTGGACAGACTCGGGTCATACAGTCAGCGAGGAGCAAGACTCCACCACAAAACACAAGGATGGGGGAAGCAAATGCTTGGGAGACAGCCCGTTAGCCACCAGAAAAAACCCCAAGGTGAAGAAGAAAGTAACATCACCAGTACAAAGAGAGGCACATGATTTTCCTTTAATTACCTTCAGATTTAGGACTAGGAGTAGATGCTGGAAACTGGTAGGTAGGAGTGTAAGGATTGTCCTCTGTAGCAGAGAAAAGCAGTGGATTTTGAAACTACCCACCATGAAGTGAAGGAACTGACAAATCCCGCAACTGATGCTTTTGAACGATTACCTACTTTAGTGTTATTAATGCACACGGCATCACACTTAACACGAGATTAATGAATTAGAAAGGCCTTAGTTATTTTAATACAGCACATCATGCAAATGAGTGAAATAAAATTTTCACCAACCAAAAAGGACTATAAAAACAAAATCTAAAAGCCAAATCTTATTCCTAGAATGGAACTATAAGAATTAATTTAAGGCTAGGACAACAGATACACTGTCTAAGTTTATGGTACCTTCAGAATTTTGCTGGATTTCAGGAAGTTCAGGGAATTGGTACGTAGGGAAATAAGGGTTTTCTTCAGGAGTGTCTAGGCAGAGGAAGAAGTTTGGGAGAGAGAATAGAGGAAGATACAAATGGAGAGAATGAACGAATAGGGATCCACACACAGTTCAGGCTCCTTGAATTCTGGAACATACTAAGCTTCACTAGTGATATGAAAGAAACTCAGATTGCTTTTAAAAATCCAGTCCTTTTGCCTGAATTACTGAGACACATCTAAAAAGACAATATCATTTTTCCTCTTGGACAAAGAATGACATATACACAGGCTCTAGTGAGCGAGAAGGATTTAGCACAAAGCTTCAGGTTTCCAAATAAACCAGTGGATTCTCAAATTTTTACACATCTCTGTCTACCATTAGGGCAGCTGGTTTTGTTTAGAACCTGTAATTTGGGTTGAGTTCATCCCTCTAACAGGAGAGAAGGGATGTTGCCCGTGGCACAGAATAATAGACTGTTCACATATGCACCTGTGGCTTGGCATTTGGGCTGCCAAAGCCAGGTCTCAAGGTGAGAGAGACACAGGGTGCTGGGGGAGATGGACATCAGCTTGAGGAAGTGACCAACAGAACTGACATCACCCAGTCAGAGACCCAGCCTTTGGCATCACCGCCATGACTGAGCTCATCCACCCAATCACAGTGGATTCACTCTTGGTTTAGAAACACTAAACGCCGAACATCTCAGTATTCTGAAAGAGTCTGAAGAGAGGCACAGCCAGGTTCATTGTGAACTCATTGTAGGAGCTCATTAACAGTGATGTTAGTTGGCATTTGCAGCTAATCAGAAAGACCAGTTATTTGCGGCTTAGGCCGACACCGACCAGAACGCTTTCTCTTTGCCTTCATGTGTCCTCTGTGCTAGGCGGCCAGACTGGATTTGGCCCCAGGGAACAACAGAATGCTCTGCCCATGGTAGGAGTGGTACCCTTCCCATGGTGCAGCAGCATCCCCATCAGCTGACTGGCAGCACAGGCGGATGGGAGCTGGTGGGGTCATGAGCTACCTGAGCGCTGGCCTGGGGTTCTCCCACCATGCTGGATCACCTGCTGATAGCCCAGTGGCTCTGATTCAGAAGCACTTCTCTTCAAGCTTGAGCGGGCTTTGGTGTGTCAGCTCTTGACTGACTCTCAGGGCTACCTGCCAAATGCTGGCTCCCAGTTGGGGCAGATTATTTTTCATTTTAACACCACCTTACAGGTGCACCATGCACTCTACTTCCTAAGGCAGAATTTGCTCTCATTTGGACCCTGCAACACCCCTTGTAGGAAGGGAAGTGGGTTGAATGCAGAGAGGTATGTGACTAGCCCAAAGTCACATGAGTGCTTAGGGGACTAAATCCAGGCAAGACCAGTTTTCTCCACTCCCAGTTCAGGGCTTTCTCAACTTGCTCTGCCTACAAGGCAGTCATGGGCTGACACGGGGGGCTGCACCTAAAGCTGGAAGCAGGTGGGAGTCAGAACTGCTCACATCCCAGGCAGGCAGATGCTGGAGCATAGGTGGAGTGCTGGGCTCAACCTGCTGCATCCCGTAACATCTGAGAGGGAGGATTTGAGAGCTGACCTCAAATCCCACATGTGAGGCAGAGCACAAGCGTTCCCTCCGTGCTGTGCTCTGCAGGCGTATGGCTGGGCTCAGGCAGGCTGGTGCCCAATGACTTGAGCGTAGGGCCCAGTCTTCTGACATCCTAGCAAAGCAAGTTTAAGTCCTCACCACAATAGTCAACATATGAACACAGCATAGCTTCTACAAATGAAAATCAGTACCTCTGTTTAGTTTGTGGATCTGTTTAAACATGGTCTTGTACCAGTCTTTTGATCTCTCGGTGTTCTGGAGAAAAACAGTAAAATAAAATGGAAATGTCAGCACATTTCAGAACTTCTGTGATCATGAAATCATAATGGAAGGTGACAACAACTGAAGTCAAAACTCACTAACTCTATACATCTTGGTGATCCCACGTTTATTTTTTTTAAAGATTTTATTTATTTATTTGACAGAGAAAGAGAGTGGCAGGCAGAGGGAGAAGTGGCTCCCCACTGAGCAGGGAGCCCGATGTCAGGCTCGATCCCAGGATGCTGGGATCATGAGCTCAGCCGAAGGCAGCCGCTTAACTGGCTGAGCCACCCAGGCGCCCTGGTGATACCACATTTAAATCTTCATTAAAAATGCAAAACTTCTGAGAAAGAACACCCAAACCAAAGGGCGCCTGGGGGGCTCAGTCGGTTAAGTGTCTGGCTCTTGATTTCGGCTCAGGTCATGATCTCAGGGTCGTGAGATCGAGCCCCACGTCGGGCTCCACACTCAGCTACTCACCTTCTCCCTCTCCCTCTGCCCCTCCCACTGCTCAAATACACACACTCTCTCTCTAAAATAAAATAAATAAAATCTTAAAAATAAAATAGCCAGACCAAGGGATTCAGACCTGAATCTGCAGAGTAATATTTGGCCAAAAAGGATGCAGATTTTGAAAAAAGAAAACAAAGATCCACCTGAAATGTGTCCATTCATACAACTTTTAAAAATTTCATTTTTTAGAGAGACAACTAAGCAGAAGTAAAGCCTCCTAGAAACATATGAGGCAAAGAACAGTTGCATGCCCCCATCCATTTCAGGTTATTCTGTACAAGTGTAGTCACCTTGGAGAGGGCCAGAGAGTTCTCATCCTAACCACAAAGCTGGGCTGTTTTTGTTTTAAGAGCAAAATAAAACAAGGAAGGGTACAGATGGGTGGTTAGATAAGGCATATTCACTCCCACTTTACGGATGAGGAAAAAAGTCACAACGATGCCCAAGGTCACAGAGCCGGTGAGAAGGTGAGTGGGAAGGCCGCCTCACACGATGGTTAGGGGTGTGGGTTTTCGGAGACAGACTGTTCCATCGCCCACAGGTTGTGCAATCCTGGGCAAGCACTGTAATCACTCTGAGTTACTGTTCCCTCATCTATAAAATGGGAATTCTATCTGTGTTCACCTTGTAGAGTGAATGATGGCTGACAGAGTGAATGACGAGACCGTGCAGTCCCTAAGCGGTGATGGCAATGACCGTCCTTCACAGCTCCCTTTATACTTATTACTGTTCTTGTATACTTAGTATTACTTAGGACCAGACAACAGTTCTTCCAAGGCTCAGCCCATTGCTGTTTCTACTCCTCCTCCAAAGGGACACAAAAAAATGTCCATTCGTTACATGGAGACTGTAGAGAAACATACTGCAGCTAGTGTTCTGAGGGGTTCACGGAAAACAAGGGGATTCACCCTAATCCGGTTTCAAAAGCAGGCTTCCCTTGAATTCCGCGGGGCCTGCAGGAGGCTGGCACGTCTGTGTGGAGGGGGAGAGCTGGGGAAGCCTGAATTCATTCTGTGGTTCCTTTAGAGCTTCTTGCTCACCCTGGCTGACGGGAGTATCTCCCATCCAGAGGAACTTCTTCCTGAACCCATCAACAGGGACCCTGAGTCCCACACTCCCCAGGGCCCTGTAAGCCTAGACCTACAATTTCTGAGTGTGCTCCAAGGGACAAAAAAGGGAGATTGGGAAACACTGCCCACAACATTCTCTCTCCCCTTGAACGTGTACCAGCCCAAAGCTTCTCAGAGGTTCTGCTGCAGAGAACCCGCTCTGCCTATGTTCCACCCTGCTTTTCCCCCATAGCCCCCTAAACCCCAAACCCCTTTCCTCATGAGACTTATTAACACCTAACATGCTTTGGGGAAAGCTGCTGCACTCTGAGCGTCTCTGCAGCCCTCAGTGGGTTTGGAGAGTGGGCAGTGCCTCAGTCTTTGAGGCATTTCCTCATGAAGCCTTCGTCAGCCGCAAGTAGGGTCACATGCACTCGGGGGTATGCATGTCACCGGCGTAAGAGGAAGCCTAGGTAGGACTTATGGGTCTGTATTCGTACCCGGAGTGGGATGCCCACTTCATCCATGGAAACATCGCTCAGGTCCTGAGCGCTCCTAGCCACCCGCCTACTGTCATCCTTCGCCTTTCTCTCAGTAGCCCCTCCAGGCGAGGTGGGTTTCTCCTGGGTTGGTGCCAAGTCCTGCTCTCCCACTCTTCTTTCTGAGACAGGATCTGGAAGCGAGAAATAGTCATTAGCTAAACCAGCTCTTCTGGTGGCTCCAAAGTAAAAATCTCCCAAACAATCCAGCTGGGGAAGTGTGTTTGCTAATTCCCAATACGAATGAGTTTCATTTAGAGTATGGGTTGGCAAACTACGGCCTGGCCACCTGTTTTTGTAAAGTTTTATTGGGACATAGCCACACCCATTCGTTTGTGTATTATTTATGGATGCTTCCAAGTTACAGTGGCCGAGCAGAGCAGCTACAACAGAAACTATGGCTAGTGAAGACTGAAATATTTATCATCTAGCCCTTTCAATCACTAAGTGCACATTAGAGTTGATTTGATTCAGGAATAGAGGTTCCAGAGAACGAACAAACAGACCAGGTGTGGTCTACAGATTATAAAATTACTTCATATCCTCTGTTACTCCAAGCCACGTCACTTACTATGGGAAGGCATTATGGCTATGCATGACATGTCCTATGGCTATGGGGGTGAACCTCTCAGAGCACGGGCCTTCAAGGAGCTGATGGCCAGTGGGCAGAAAGGGCAAGAGAGCCAGCGATGAGAATGTAGGATGACCAGGGCGGACAGAGTCCGCATCCAACTTAGCGGAGGAACTTAGGTTCAGGGCTGACGTCTCAGAGGGAGTCACCCAAACAGGAAGTGAGGGGTGCCCCCGGCAGAGGGAACAGCATCAGCAAATGCAAGGAGCCTGTGAACTACTCTGAGCTACATGGGTGCCAGGCACTGCGCTCAGTTCTTCATATACATTATCTCAGTTCATCCAATAACGCTCTGAGGAAGAAACTATTATCTGTCCATTTTTAAAAAAAAAACTGTGAAGGGCACCAAGGCACAGAGAAGTTAAAGTGCCCTGCCTGAGGTCACACAGCTGCCACATGGCCAAGCTAGGATTTGGACTAAGGACACCTGACTCCAGTGGTTCTCTCTGAACCATACCCTGTCATACCTCCCTCCAAGATGGCACCAAGGCTTCGAGCCTGGCCTGATCCAAACAGAAGTAAATAAAGGGACTGGGGTGGGGAAGGCAGGGAGAGATGGCTGCTTCCATTCAGACATGGTAACTTTGACAGTGAGACATCCAAGCAGAAATGCCCTCAAAGAAATAGGGGAGCAGAGCCCCAGTGAGGCCATCAGCATAGACGTCATGGAAGAGGTCAGGGAGATGGAAGCGCTCATGGAGGAGTACGTGCGGGTAGAGTCAAGGGCTGACGTCACGCGCTGAGGGGTGTCGCAGCCGACAGGCTGAGGAGCAGAAGGGATCCCCCAAAGGACGTAGGAGTTATCGGAGGGGGAGGAAATGAACCCAAGAGGAAGAGTGAGACATCACTGAAGCCAGAGAAGACAGAATTCCAAGAAGTGGGTGATCCAACCCACGAAAGGAAGGAAGGAAGAAAAAGAAACCAAAGCAGAGAAAGAGGCATTCAATTAGGCAAAAGAAGAGTCATGGGATCACTGACGGAGGGAGCAAGTTTCCAAGGGCGGTGGGGGTGGGTGCCAGGCTGCAGAGAAAGGGACGATCACGTGAGCAGGAAGTAGGGAAGGAACTGGGGTGGGGGGTCAGCACACAAGGACAGACTATGGCAGGTGGCAACAAGAGAGGTCAAGAGGCTAGGGGTCCAAAAGGTTTTGAGCCGGGGGAGTCTAAGCCCTAGCAGTGACGCCCTGGCGGTGAGACTGAAGGGGAGCGAGAGGGGCCTGGCACTCAGCCAGCGCTCAGGCAGGACTCGGTCACTGACCGAGGGAGAGCTTCTCATCTCTGGCAAAGGAAAGAGTGCAGACGGCTGGCTAGAGACTAAAATCCAGCGGAGGGCGCCTGGGTGGCTCAGTCGGTTAAGCGACTGCCTTCGGCTCAGGTCATGATCCTGGAGTCCCGGGATCGAGTCCCGCAT